CCGGCGCTGCCGCCGCTCCGCTCGGCCCCGGCGCGGCCCTGGGTCCCTCGCTGGGTCCCGCGGCGCCTCGGAAACCCGCGGGCCGCTGCCGCCCGCACGGCCTTGCTGTGMGCAGGGCACGCGAGAGCCTCCCGGCCTCAAAAAGCCCCCGGAAAGGTGCCCTGGGTGGCGAGTGCCGCCCCGGCTGCCCCGGCTGCAGGACGAGGAGGTGTCGGGATTGGCGGCACGGGAAGCGCGGCTGCATCCCGGCCTGATGCAATGAGTTCGTGTAGTCGCGGGCCACAACTTGCTTGTTCATGTCCCGTGTGTAAGGGAGCCGCTTGYATGGACGTCCTCTGAAAAGACGTGTGCTGAATAAGGGCGTTAAAAMCCAAGCAAACGAACAGCCCCCCTCAGCCTGTGGTGTTGGGCTTTGCTTCCTTGCTGAGCAGTGTGTTTTCTCCCTCAGTATGACCTGTCGGCTTCCACGTTCTCTCCAGATGGCAGAGTGTTTCAAGTGGAATATGCTATGAAAGCTGTGGAGAACAGTAGGTAAGATACAAGTATCTTTATCCCTTTGCTAATTGGTGTATTTTTTAAATAGATGAGCTTGTTTTGCAGACAAAACTGTATTAGCAGAAGAAGTTACGAGCTGCTCTGTCCTTGTCTTAGAAGTTTTCAARTAAAGTATAAAAGGGTTCAGTCAGTTTTGCTTGCTCAGTGGTGCYGTAGAAACAGAGGCGATGTTACGGAGAATACAAAGGAGGGCTGTAAACTCACCTGTGCACGTACAGGGCAATAAAGTTCTCTGCTTTGGGGCAAAGTTGGGTTGCACAGCTCATTAATATATGCAGGGTGCTCAGCTATTATGGTTATAGCACCATATAAGTACCTGAAAGCCCATTTAATGCATGTGAGTTGAGACACTGCAGATCTGACTAGCTCGAGGCCTCATACATTTATAGCAAAGTCATCTGGCAGTCCCCAGTTTCTTGGGGAATGCTCCACACTGTGGCAGTAACGACTGCTCCCTACAAACGTGCCTCTTCCTTGGACAAAGGAAAAGCTGCAAAAAAAATATCCCACCTGTGCTCAGAGCAAAAGTGGGACCGATTATCCTGGCACAGATGGGATCAACACGKGTGTCTGGTCATGGCGTGCGCTGCTCAGTAGGGATCAGTGCGAGTGTTTTGGAGGGGGTGCAGCTTATGTCGGATTTGATCTTTTGTGCTTGATCCGTCCTGGAGGGCAAGGAGAGACTCTCACATCACCTGTATCCTGAACTGACCACAGGGGAGATTAAACAGGCCCTCAGTGTCGTATTGGTAACACACAGCACGTGCTTCTCCAAACAGGGCTGCCACTGTGTGCAGTCCCGCTCCGTTATTTGGATAGGGACTTGGCAGCCCCTGCCTTACCCCCTTACCCTTGGGTGAGAATATTTTTTGTAGGTTTACTGAGCTTTTTATCTTTTTCCTCCCCTTGACTTCCATGAACGGAGTGCTACAAAAATTGCACTATGGTTCTACTTTTGTGGAAACTATTTGTAGTGTTTTGTTAACTCTCTTATTTATTTTTGCTTCCCAAATCTGTTGTGCTTCCATGTAAGTGAGATGTGCCTTTATCTTGTTTTTCAGTACAGCAATTGGGATAAGGTGTAAAGATGGAGTTGTCTTTGGAGTAGAAAAACTAGTTCTGTCCAAGCTTTATGAAGAGGGTTCCAATAAGCGTCTCTTCAATGTYGATCGACATGTTGGAATGGTGAGGTGCTATTTAACTTTAACCTCTCATAAAGAGAGATTCCCTGCAAAGTAGATAAAGTAATTTAACAACCTCTGTACGTAGTTAGAAATGACAATGGATTTTTAGACTATTTTTTATAATTGGTTGTGTGTATACTTACATTTATTTAGATAGAARTAAAATTGAAAGTAGAAGACAGGTGTGTATATTTTGAGATTGTTCTGATTTCTTTTGAGAGAGTTTCATTTGAACAAGTGGCAAAGTTGTCTTTCGTTACTCAGTAAATGAATAAGGCTTGTTAAAAAGCATGACATGCTCGTGCCCATACAAGATTCTCTTTTCCATCTTAATGATGTGGGAGCCAAGTGGATCCTGTGAAGGCTGCCATGTGGATCTTACAGGTTACTGGCTAATCTGTAACAGTCGTGGCAGCATAAATAGAGGTTACTGCACGAGAGAAATGCCTCAAACTGTGTGTGCTTATCACCAGTATTGGGAAGAAGCTGGGTTTGCTTCTGCTTACCCCCTCAAATCATATAAAACAGAAAGGGAATGATACACTGCTATGGTTAACATCAGTAACCTCACATCATTAGACTTAGTCCATTGATCTTAAGAAGGCCTTACAGGAAAATGTGTTGCCTAACTGATGGTGTCTGTCGCTTCAGGCGGTAGCAGGACTCCTGGCAGATGCTCGCTCCTTGGCAGACATTGCTAGAGAGGAGGCTTCTAACTTTAGGTCCAACTATGGCTATGATATCCCACTGAAGGTAAGGAAGTGGCACGATCCATTTGTTTCATTGGCTTTCTGAACCTCAGCAGGCAGAGTAACTTTCATTGCAAGAGACTTGATTATTTCTGCAGATGAAGCTTTCTGATTTCTTTTTTTTTCTTTTCCACTTAGCATCTTGCAGACAGAGTGGCCATGTATGTGCATGCATACACGCTATACAGTGCTGTCAGGCCTTTTGGTTGCAGGTGAGTCTTTCAAGKATATATTTACCTGTAAAGATCTTTTGTTTCACAGCCAATATAAGTGTTCAGGTTAGCTCAGATTCTTCTTTTTTATTTTATTTATTTTTAAATTAGAATGAGTAACTAAGAGGTGAGGATATAAACAGCTTGCATTTTTCGGGGGGTGGAACATCTTGTGGAAAACCAAGCAAAGAATTCATCCTTGTATAAGAGCACACAGAATGTGACCCTTTTCCTAAGCTGTAGATTTATGGCACTGGCAATAGCACTAGATAGATTTCTCTGTAATCATCCTGCTTGCTGTCATTGCTGTGGAATATGTTGTAATGGGTTGTAGTTATTAGTAGACGGGGACTAATGACTGTTGAGAGCTGCTGCCAAGGTGCTGGCTGCTTATAGATCAAGTAAAATCTTACTGGCAGCTTCTAAACGGTAGGGGATTATGAAAATACTAGAATATAAGATATATATATATATATATATATAAAATGTAGAGATGGTCATTTTGCTTCAAGATGAACATAGGAATCTTAGTTGCATTTAGTCTTTTCATTTTTTTTTTCCTGGGTTGGTAGAACAAATGCTTCCAACTTTACTTTTCTTACCTAGTTTTATGTTGGGGTCTTACGATAAGGATGATGGTGCACAACTGTACATGATTGATCCATCAGGTGTTTCATACGTGAGTGTTGAAATATTTCCATTTTGATATAAGCTATATATTTGATATAAGCAAATTATCCTTTGATCACTGCTTAAAGTGAACAAAGATGTTTTTGCATATCTTCATGTCTTTATTAAACATGGACATGAAAGTTTCTTTGAAAAAGTACAGTCTTTTTGAAATTAGTTTTAAATTCTGTTTATTAGAAATTTAGGAGTTCCACCTGGTTCTTTCTAGTACCACTCCCTGTCCCCAAAGGTGCATGGACTATGGGCATATTCCAGTCACAAAATTCTTCGGGTAACCGAGAGGCTGACAGTGGCTTCTGACAGCAAGTCGAATCAAAACAGATGCTTGATTTTGTTAATCACTTAGTGCTGTCTCCTTTAGCTGTGTCTAATACACAGGATGTGCATTATGTGTGTATAATCCACACTTCTATACTAGATTAAGTACCAACACATCCAGTAATTGGATTCTGCGATGAGCAGATTAGGATTCTTATGTGAGAATTGCTTTCTCTTGCTTGTGAGATTATAGACCAATTCCAGGGTTTTCTGAGTACTAGCGAACTTGTTTCAGGGTGGGATGGTACAGCACGCATGCTAGTGGGCTTGGTATTTAACTGTATTTGTTTTCCCATTCCCTCCTTTTTCTTTCAGGGTTACTGGGGCTGTGCTATTGGTAAAGCCAGGCAGGCTGCAAAAACAGAAATTGAAAAACTTCAGGTAGGTTATTAAGTTTGGGGTTTGCTGTTTCCAAAGGGATATTCCAATCTTATATTCATACCTATTTAATGCTTAAGACATATAATATGTATAGAATACCACAGAAGCAGAGGAAACATTTCCTTCGTGCATTTTAGAAGGTGTTCTAGCCTCTCTTAATAGCAGTATTTCTCAAGCCTTGTCCCAGGACAACAGGAACTCCATAGGGAGTGCACATTTTTAAAACAGGAAGCATAAATAAATGAGATGCACACAGAGAAATAATTCCATAGCCTGATCATGCAAGCAGTTGAGTGTACGACCTGATCTACAGAGAGAAGACTGCACTGAAATGTGCTGAGGTGCACCCTAAGCTGACTTAGAACTATGTCAGAATTCTAAAAGGCTTCTGTCCTTGTGTTTCTTAATACCTGAAGCCTTTGGAGTTGGAGGTACTTAAAAAAGGAAAAGCCTTTCCATGCTGTGTTGGATGTAATGCTTAATTTGTGCTCTGCTTGCATCTTCAGTCTGCAAAAGCACCACATCACAGTTGTCAGCACACGGAAACTCTGAGCACGTATTAGTAAAAAACAGTCCATTGATGGTGGTTTTGCATCAGAACTTAAAAATTACAGGAACAATTAAAATGTTCTTCATTTGCTTCAGTTCAGTCTTAAACCCAGTCAGATGTATTTTAAATTAGAAGTAGGAAGCCTACATCTTGACATGAATCAATGAGACATCATAATTTCAATTTTGATGTGTGCAAATTGGCAGAAAGATTTGGTATCCTGAGTAATATATAAAAAAAGCCTTTTTTTCCACAATGCTGAGTGTTTTTATTTTACTGCTTAATTCTTGTACAGCTACTAAGTACAGGTAGTATTTGATCTCCATTGTGTAGCCTGTAACAGTAGGAACATGGGACCAGTGCTGTATTTTGTGATGTAACCACAGTTGTGGGGTGGCTTGTTTGCAGAATGCCTTCAGCAATGCCTATGTCCTTCTCAAAGCACCATGAAGCAAGTGCAGTCTTGCTCCTGGATGCTTTTTTGCCAACATCAGTGGCAGGTTTGCAGATCTGAGTCCATTTTGATAAGATGAATTTGTGATTAAATGTCATAACTCAAATATCAAAGAGAGAGAGAGCTGCAAAAGCTTGTAGGGAAGGATAATGACCTATACCCTCCCTYGTAGGTAGCTTAAACTGCAAGCAGGCAACACTGTGCGGGTCATGTCAGTTATAGCTGCACAGAAGTGCAAGGGAAAACTGAAGTGGTGTGCACAGGACTTCAGCCTTTCAGTACCTAGTGCTTCTTAGGCACCTCGGTTGCTACTAATCACATTTTTCTTGAGATTTGGCCATAAGTGTTAATTCCTGTGATAATGACTACTGTAAGCATTTGCAGAATTAATGTAGCTGAGAGGTCAAARAATGATGGCAAAATATGATGATGCTAAAGTCTTTTTGACTCTACACTTTCAGGTCTTGTAGTTTCACTACTAACTCTATGCATAAATACACATAGTAATGTAAATGTGGGCTAATGTAGGTTTGTGTACAGCAGTCAGTTATCATGGAAAGTGGCATTTAATCTTACAATATTGTCATTGTCTAGTATGAGACTTGTGCTTAACTATGATTAAAATGTCAGACTGAAATAACTGAGAAAACACCAAATGATATATTAATACCATGTTCAGCCATGCAGTCAGCTGTTAACATCTAAGTAGTATTCTGCCCTTGGAGCATCACTTAAAACCAGAAGTCAAAATTACCAGCAAAATGTTGGTAAGACCTGAAGCATTACTATAGAATGTAGGAAGTATATGAGTATTATATATCAAAATATGACACACGCACTATGCTGCGCAGGTGGTTATTTTAAGTCAAACACAGCACCAAGCAACAATTCTAGCTTCTAACATATTTAAACTATTTCCTCAACATTAAAACACTCCTCTGCTTAGAGCCTAACCTGGCAACATTTCAGCCTAACCACTTTTTTCACCTAGACATGCACTTGTGAAATCCTTCAGTGGAAGAAAGACTTGTATGTTGCAGATTGCACAAAAGTGAAAGACAAAATGGTTTGATCCTACTTGTAACTACTTGCCAGTACTGAAGAGCAAGTTCTTTAGGCATGTGAATAGACACTCATGTTTTGTCTCAGGGAAATGGAAAACATTATATTCACTTAAGCCTTGTGCTTTCCTTCTACAGATGAAGGAAATGACCTGTCGTGATGTTGTTAAAGAGGTTGCAAAAATGTAAGTCTCCTTTTCCTTTTCTCTTTTTTTCTCTTATTTACCTCCCAATTTGATATAAGTTCTTATGGATGAGTTTGTCATAGTTTCAAWCTGAAGTTGTTCCTTTTAAATGGAGTAAATCTGTAGGTGTAAAATATAATCTCCAGCACTATGGCTGTTGCTTAGAACATTTTTATAAAGAAATACTAAACACTTCTATCAGCAGTGCTGCAGTGTATGAGTTAATTTTACTCACCTGTCACTGAGGAGAAACACTACACAGTGGTTATGCTGTTACTGTCATTTTCATGAGTCTTTTTACCTCACAGACTAGGGGCTGGTTTCAGTAGCCTGATRGCACTGCAGATGCTGTTGTACCACTTGCAGTTTAAATTCTGCTCATCATGTTTGCATTAAGAATAGCAGTCAGTATGGAAGSCAATGCATAGGCCTCTAGCATGTCATGCAAGGTATTGTAACTCCAAGTCTGCTGGTATTTAGTCTTAAATATAAAGTTAAGTTTATTGGAGAAATACAGGACAGCTCTAACTTAGCCAGCAAAAGCATGCAGTGAGGACTTYAGAGCTTAAGTTCTGTGGTATTTAAACTGTGAACAATGAGTATTTTAAAGGTGCTAWATTTCTACCAATAATAAATTGAGTACTGGGACTAGAGAAGTAGTTTGTATCTTAGTGGTTATCATTTAATGCATTCTTATACTAATAATTAGGRCTGGAACCATCTCTGGTGTTTTTCYGTTTGYATATGTAGAAGAAAAGACTGGAGAGAGCTTCTGTTGACAGCAATGAGAATATCTCAATAGAGGAAATCTGTAAAGGGAGGAAATACTTTCAGCCTATTGATCRGTTGGCTCTAATCTGTACTTTTTTTGTTCTTTCCAGAATCTACATAGTTCATGATGAAGTAAAGGATAAAGCCTTTGAATTGGAGCTCAGCTGGGTTGGAGAAAGTAATGCATTTTATTTATCTTTATTTCTGTAAACATAGAATATTTCTAAGCCTCTGTAGCTGAACTACAACATTGATCTTAACTTCATCCTGCATGTTGAAGTCTTCATGTGAATTCTGCCTAATGTATACTTTTTTTTTTAATTGGCAGTAACCAATGGAAAACATGAAATTGTTCCCAAAGATATCAGGGAAGAAGCAGAAAAATATGCCAAGGTAAGGCCCAGCTTTTGGGGAGCCATCTCAGTGCTCTGCTTGACAGGTCCAGAATAGAATGAATGAGTTGGCAGTTAGGCTTCTAGTGCAGTGAACACTGAGAGGGGTATAGTTACAGCCCAAATCATTTAACTGTTAACTGAAATTATTTGGAAGAGAAAAATGCACTATGTAATCCTGGGATAGTTCTTTTCAAAAATGGAGCAATTTAACAAGCTTGCTCAGATGCCATGTTCCTCCCTCGAAAATAAGCTTTCAACAATGGTAGACTTAAGGAAGTAGGAGAGACAAGAAGTCAGATTGACTATAACTGCTTTTAAAGATAACCAGCTGGAAATAAAAAAAAATCCCCATATTAAACAGATCTCCACTTGTTCCAAAAGTAATGATGGCACTACATTCTGCCTACCTCAAGATGTGAACAAATTGACAAGATTAAAGCTCTACAGCAGAACTCCCAATGCTTTTTTGTAGGCTGACTTTATAAAGCTATTAAACCACAACTAGGGTGTGTCTTTACTAAGGCTGCCTTTCTCTCTCTCATACAGGAATCTTTGAAAGAGGAGGATGAATCAGATGATGACAATATGTAACATATTGTTACATCAAGACAAGTTCAACTTTTCTTAACTTAGTACAGGTTTGTTTATAATGTATTAACCATGGAATGCCATTATGTACTTGCTGGAAGATACTGACCAACTTGCACTAATAAATTTTCCATTTAACTCTCTGTTAACTTTTACTTCAAAGTAGCATAGATTGATATTACTCAGAAGCAACTGTACCACAAGTTAGTTGATCTGTATCAAAATGGAAGAAAAATTTTGTTTGAGACTGGTGGCAGTGAAAAAATAGTCTGCCTAGGATTGACAAGTTAGTCATTCTCTCATATTCCATAGTTTAAAAAATAGCACTTGACTACTCCCTGCATAACCTGTATTGTGACTTGCCATTCAGACAGCCAAAACCTACCTCTGGCAGCTCAGGGTGGGGAAAAATGAGAACATAGCTCTGTAGAAGAGCTGGTTACAGCTGGCATGGGCAGTGTTCAGGAAAAGGAATTTTGTTCTGGTGTAATTTTTGATCTGCTCTAGGCTTAAACCTAGGATTTTCTGAAGAATAGAAGAAACAAAAACTTCAAGTCAGGTTAAAAATAGTATTTTTGAGCCCTAAAGATTTCAGATTAAATTAAATAACTTGGAATTAATGCTTGAAGGGCTAAACCAGTCTCAAGAGCTAAACCAACRTTAATTAAGAGCAGAGCCAAGATGCTCTCCCACAGAAGCAGGGCTTGGCTCCTGCCTCTAAAATTAAAATTAGCTTCTATTGTTGGTCTGAAAATTGTTGACTTTGCTTTACAGTGAAACGTGACAAAGCATCACAAGGTCAAGAACTGTGTTCTCAGCAGGGGGAAGATTTCTGAGTCAGAGATTTGAGCAAGAGATGATGCTGACTTTTGCATCTGTGATTACATCTGCCCAAAGCACTGGAAAAGTTTAAATTTGAAAATATCAGAAAAACAGTTAGATTCATACAAGACACCACCTTTTTGCTTCAGTTTTCAAGTAGTCTACGGAGTCCAGACTCTGGCCATTTATGGGAATACAGAATAGGGCAGAACATTAAATACTCACTTGGAATGCATAGCTGTAGCACTTGCCARGTTGAAGCACACAACTTCAGAGTTTTAATACCATACACTATTGCTCCAGACCCAAACCATGTGTTTAGAAGAGCATCAGAAAAAAAAAAAGATTCCTCAACCACCTTGTTTCTTAGCTAAAAAAATCCTTCTACCAAAAGATACGTGTTGGGAGTGCACAGATCCARTAATGAGCTAAGTAGAATGTATGCCAAGATGCTTCTTGTCCTTAAGTCTCACACGTCACCTTACTATTACTTATTCTTCCTCTGATGAATCATTACTCTGATATTTAATAGGAGTGGGCATGACTAAATAATTATAACAACAGGAAGCATGACAGCAAGTCCACACACAGAAGCTTTGCTCAAGAAATTAAAAGAGGAACACAGGTGAACTCTGCAGGAGCAAAAATACATTCACTAGTATCTAGTTTACATTCTCGTGTATGAATGCACCACAAAAGATTTCAGAGTATGCATTGGGACTTACACTGTTTAAAAAAATCATGTTAGGACTGCAGCAGTGGAATCAATTTCCATTATTTGTACTGCTTTTACACAGCCTTGAAAACTAGTATTTCAGATGGTATCTTATTCACAAGTGACTAATACTGCTGATGAAGCTAGGGTAAGATTGTGCTATTTGGAAAGATGCAAGTATTATCCATACTAAACAGGTTTCTGGCAGGGTAGCTGTACGTAAGGATTTCCCCAAATAAATGTGCATATAACTTATCTGTATTTGGTGATGACTCTCAGAAGGGAAATATTTCAAACAATGTCTCATGTAGATGTGACATCTACATATGCCAAACATAAGTCATTTGTTATTTCTTTACCCCACCAAAAGTAACTACCTAGCTTAAGGTTAAAACTTCACCCACTTGATGCATAGCTGTGCGTATAGACATATCAAYGTCTGAGATGCTCTCTGGCTCTGTAGCCTAGGTCACCTGAAAAGCAGCAGCTTTAAGCTAAAACTATAACCATGAAAACAAACAGTAAATACAGCTGATAAATGGGTAAGATGTATAGCTGAAAGTCAAGATAATTATTACCTTTTTAAAAAGTGCAAAGTTTCAGGATCCTAAAGAGAACAAGAAGACATTAGTTTTCAGAGAAATTTTGAAACAGTGCTAAAAGATAACTCTTCTCCCCCCCCCCACCTTCCTTCAATCCCATCTGTCTGTAAGACAAAAGACAGGACTAGTTTTTCTTTCTCCACCCATCAGTTTTTCAAGTTACAGGTAGCAAAGGAAGTTGCTTTCACTTCAGTCCTGAGGGCTATTTTGAGACACCAACTCCTTTTAACTTAAAGCTCTTGCTACCTATTACTTCCAATTATACAAAGAAGCAGAAAACAGGTTGTAGAAGAGTTAAGGGTGTAATGTTACTGTCTCTCCAATAAATACTCTGGAATTTGAGAGCATGGAATCTACAACCAAGCTCCAAAGTCTGCCATTTGAAGATGTGCTAAACAACCACCATGCAGTGTTCCTTGGCCTACAGTACACTGCTATTAAAGGACTCTGAAACAGTTGTTTAAAAATGGTTCCTACTCATAGCTGCGCCAACCAAAAATGGATAGCTCGAATAAAGCAGGAAGCAGCTTCTCATAGTTTATATTCCAAATGTACAAAAAAAACTTCCTGTACTCCAAATACTGTTTTAATTGACATAGCCAAATAAAAGTTTAAAAAAAACAGGCTGGTTCATTGCTGCAAGAACTTAGATATGATTTGAGATGACATCTATAGTCTGTATATCCACAAACACACTAGAATCATTCCAATTCTACTTTCAGCAGTAGATTTTACTAGTAGTATGTTAAATTATAGCAGTTACATGTGAAAATTGATACATGATTTTAAACAAGTCCAAATCTATCACCATAAAGTTCTTGAGAGTGAAGCTTATATTATTCAGAGGGCTTTTGGAAGAGGAAAAAAAAAAAAGGAATCTGTTACTATCATCATTTAGGGAAGGACAGAGACCCATGATGTTAGACAGCACTAACAGSTTTCAGGAGCAGCACAGGAAGTGCTGGATTACTTTAACAGAACACTATATAAATGTTAATTTCATTTTGGCATCTGACACACACTGCAAAGTATCACTTTGAGAGGCTAGCTCTCCCACATCCATTTCTACATACTTCAAAAATAAAAAATATTACATACTAGCAGAACTAAAGTGAAGCTTCTTTTTCTGCAAGGCAGAAAYAAGCTTAACAAGTTAACAAGCTTAACTCTTCCAGCCATGTTGTCTCTGCTAAGTAGAAATGTCACTGTACTGTGCTGCTTGCAAGGAGATTATAGGAGAGAACACACAAAAAGGTCACTTCTCGATCAGAAAGACATGTATTTTGTTCTTTTACAACTCCAAAGGTAAGAACACAGAATCTCAGTTTTTCTGTTTACAGTGCAGCTGTTGTGACACGCCTGAGGCGGCGTCAGGCTGCACAGAGCTGAAGTTCCTTACAGGAGAAGGGACATCCTGTTAATTTTCACAGTGATGACATRTGGAACAGCCACTCCCACAAATACGTAACTGTTGCATCCAAGCTTCACCACATGTGTTTGATTTAGATGGGAAGTGACTCAAAAACCAGCAGCTCTTAATCTTACTCTATTAAAAAGAACACAGAATATTTAGAGATTTAAATACAGAACCACAGAATGGTTCAGATTGGAAGGGACCTCTAGAGATCATCTAATCCAAATTCCTGCATACACAGGGACACTCAGAGCACAGGGTGGCATCCAGGCAGCTTTTGAAAATCTCCAGGGAAGGAGCCTCCRCTGCCTCCCTGGGCAGCCTGTTCTAGGGCTCTGTCACCCTCACAATAAAGAAGTTCTTTCTCACATGGAGATGGAACGGCCTGAGCTTCACAAAAAACAACAACAACAAAAAAAACCCACCAACACACAACTTTCAGCACAGGGATACTTAAGTCATATTTATTCTGTATACAGACTAACACTGCAGTTGAGATTTTGAAAGCAAGTAAACACATAGTTTTTTTTTTTTCTCAGAGTTTTTTAAAAATACTGAATGGCATATAAAATAACCCATGTGTGCATATACATTTCTAGTAYTAAATCATATCTTGTGCATAGGTAAAGCCTGAAAAAAAAGGTGATTAACCATTTACAATGGATACAGGTACACCTTTGTCTTTACTCTYGTCATTCACAAACTATTTTGAAAAAACACATACATGGATGTTCATATGAAGTACATCACCAGCCAGAATAACAACCAAATCATCTCAATTGACTTCAGCTATTTATTTAAAATTTAGAAGGATAGACTGATCACTTGTTTCCAGGTGGCTCTACCTGAGGCCCTATAGYAGGCTCAGGAAATCACTAGCAAACTTCAGGGGATATAAGGCTCTTTGGGCCTCTCGAGCACTACYACACATTGGGACTTCCGCCATCTGCGGCACATACAACAAAAACATGAGAAGTAGCATGCCTAATTAAACTTGATTCTGAATAACTAAGCATTTATTTTTGTGAACAAAGGGGCAGGAATATGCCAGAGCTGCAAAAACTATATTTAAGCATTCCACATTACAAAAATATATGAACACACATCTATTGATGTGTACATATACACATGTGTGGAACTTACTGCTGGTTGTTAAGAGTAGAGCACCCTTTTCCTCTCATAGCTAGAGAGAGTTGTTCACTTTCATAAACCAGATATGACTTACTGAACTTCCTGGYGTTAGCTTTCACATTTCTCAGTGTCCTTCCTCCCCACCCCCACCTTCATTTCCCCCAGCATGTATTTCTGCATACCAAATTATTAAGTTTTTGACACACTTCTTTCCAAGTATATTCAGACACTTCTTATATTCAGACAATGCAGCTCTGTGGCAAGCATGCAGCTGACATCTTCGTTTGCACAGAAACAGCAGTTTTGTGCAGATGTTTCTGAAGCTTAAGGCAGACACTTGTGCAACTACCAAGAGTATTACCTGTTTACTGACAGAACAGAAACMAAGGGGAAGAGTATTTAAAAGAATCAAACATTTGAAACAAAAATATGAAATAGCTAGAAGTCTAGAGATCTTCTGGACATCTATGTATATAAACACAGAGTAACATACCGTGTTATTACCTGTATCCACAGCCAAAATATTCTTAAGTAATAATTCTTGTTCTAACAGTGAGTTTCTTTGTATGTATATTCTGAGTTCTCGGATGTACACATAAAGGTAGTATGTCAAGAGCAATACTATTTTGAATAGAACTAAGACTTGCTTAGCCAAGAACTCCCTCTAATAATATTGCCTCTCCTCTCAAGGAAGCCACATGAGACCTTCAACAACTGCATTTGGCTGCCACTTGCATTCCAATAAGCAGCACTATGGTTAGATACAAGAGGTGCTGTACTTGCCTCTTGAGTGACAGATCTGGAGAAGGTTCTTTGAACAGTATTAAATATTTTTCTGTTAGATTATTTAGAGAGAGTAGATAATAAAAAGACTTACCATGATTCAGTCTTATTCTGTATCTTTTCCCAGTGTGTTAAGTTTGCATGATTAGTTAAGTTTGTGATAGGAAAACCTACTGTTTGTTTTTTCCTCCATTCATCCCAAATTTTCTCTTGGGGATGGTAAAGGAGATATAGGGGGAGAGAATTGAGATAAATTTAAGAAGCAGGATTTCATTAACATAATTCAACTTTGAGCCCTGAAATTCCTCTCTCAATTCAAAGCGACTTTAAAATCAGAGGTTTTCTGGCTTGCCAAAAGGATGGTGCTTCCATTTAATTACTGCAATATTTCATTCCATTCTACCAGACGTCATCCCCAAGTTGTGTCAGCATGTTTGGGCTATTTGGTGAGCTGCCTAGCTTGGCATTCTTAGGTGCTTTAAATACCATAAAAGAACAAGTCACCCTCCTGTTCAACAGCTACACAGGAAAAATAAAGTCCTCTTGCTCACAGTAGGTAAGTGACTGATGTGCCTAAACATTCCAGCTGCTACACATACACACAGGTGGCTGGGAATTTTTCTGCTAGAAATCAGAAACAAGACTAATCAGTTTCATCATAAACTGTTATTTATTGAGTATTGCTATTCTTAGTACAGAGATACAAATGAGCCCTCAAAATGCTCTCAAATTCTGACTTCTCCAATATATTTCATAGCTTACAGAGATCAACATTTCACATTTAAAGCAAACTAAGTTTTACTAAGAGTAGGAATTAATTTAACATAATTTAAACAATAACGTGCTCTTCATCTTACTACTTCAGAAAGCAGAATACACAAACTATAATATAGAAAGAAGTCCACTTAATCCCTCAACATTAAAATAAATCCCTCAAGCCTTTATACAGCTTCAAGCATCTTGGTATTTACAACTTAAAACCAAACTCTGGAAAGTTAACATTAACCCTCCCACATATTAAACATTTACTTTATAGTCAAACCTAAATATTCTCTATGTGCATTAACTCTTCCTGTATCTCCAAAGCTTACCGATCCTGCACCACACTGCTCTCAAAGTTCCCTYGAGAATTGTTCCTGTTCCCACTTTTTTTTTCCCCCCTCTTAAGTATCAGGTTTAATTAAAAATAAACAAGCACTGAAATCACTGCTGAAWTGGCCACTGACCCTTTGATAACAATCCATTTCTGTCAGCAACAGTCACAGAAGCCTCAGAACTTCATTGACAGGTCCCAAAATTGCTGTTTTAGGACATTCCAAGATACTGGGAATGAGAATGTCAAATATACAGTATATACTGCATAARAGACACTGAGCTTAGAGTACATTCAATCACAAATGGAGCTGCGGACAGAAAACTAAAGCATGAAACTGCTGTTACAACTCGAGCACGCTTCCTGCCTCGTACGACGGTACCTTTCCGGGAGTTTCCATCACAGACTCCGGAGGACTGGGCAGGACTCGGSCTTTTGTGGTTGGGGGGTTCTGCATGGCGAGCCCCAGCTCCCACTCCCGCCCCGCCGCTTCCTACGGAGAGATGAGCTGAGCGGCCTGGCCGCGCGCCGCCGCCTCCGCCGAGCCCTACCTGCAGCGCCGCCGGTGCCGCCGGGCGCGCGGGGAGAGCGGCCGCGCGGCCTGCGCCTCGCCGGGCCGGGCCGCCAGCAGCACTCACGCGGCTGCCGCTCCACTTCCGGGCGCCATGGCGGCGGCGGGAGGCGGCTCCCACCGGCAGCGCCCGGCCCAGGCCCCTCCTGCCGCCTTCCTCCCGCCGCCTAAAATGGGAAAGCGCCTCACACAAAATGGCGCCGGGAGGCCGGCCGCGGCGCATGCGCGCTGCGAGGCCCGCGGCCACCGCCGCCGAGGCGCCGGCCCCGCCCCCCGAGCCTTCCGCTGGGCCCCGCCCCGCCCCGTCTCCAAGAGACGGCGCGCGCCAATTGCATCGCGACGCTGCTCTTCCTCACCCCGGCTTCGGCCAATCGCCTCGCGCACAGCTACATCCGGATGCGGCCCGTACCAATGCGCACAGGGGGAAGGCCGACTTGGCTTCAATCGCAGCCAATCGCAGAGCTCTTCGGTAACGACCAATCAA